TTTGGCCTTGTTTAGCAAAAGTAAAGATTTGTTCATGAGTCGTCTCGAAGTTTGAGTTGTAATTTTTTAATATTGAACGCTACATAATGGTTCAGCAGTAACTCATATATTTACAGTAACTACAGTTGGTCCCCCTATTATATTCTAAGTTCATTTGTGTATCTTACTTATTTTCAGTCACAGTGTGCAACTCCGTGTAATCCCATCAACATCACTGTGTGCTGTAAAGAAGGCATGAAGGTAACAGTGTCAGCTTTTGTTCCGTAGTTCCATCTACTTAGACCGCCTGAAACATGGGTCATGCTCAGCAACATTTCTGGCATAATTAAATGACCCTGAATTCAAAATATGTTACTTTTTAGGGTGAGAAGGGCGAGAAAGGAGAATCAGGAACAAATTGTAAATGCCCTTTACAGGTAAACATGAGTAAAAGTGTGCGTTCTCTCCGCTTGTGAATTTCAATTTCAAGGCACTTAAGTTTTTGGATGTCGTTTAGTCAAAAGATTTTAATTAACAGCTAGTCTGGCATTTCCTTTATCTTTTATGCTAACACAGAATCCAAACAAACCTTCTGCTCACATTGAAGCTGCCGATATTAAGACCGTCACTTACCAAGCCAACACAGGTATTTTAATTATCCTCTTTGCGGAATGTGATATCAGGGATCTCAAATTCTGGTGTTACTTCTGGTCTTTTTGAAATTGAATTTGACGTTTTTAATACTGAACTAATTGCAAAAACAGACTCTCGTTGATAAATCAAAGTACAGCGAGGTAAAAAACCACTAGTGTCTGCGAACGTATTTTCATTTTGAGTAAAGCGTTTTGTTTTTAATTTCCTTCTAGTGATAAGGGACTGGTCTGTCAGTGCCCCTCATAGCCACCTAGCAGGCGGCGTGACCTACAACAACGGAGAACTGACTGTGCCCACCACTGGACGGTACTACATCTACGCACAACTTTTCTATCATTCCAATGGGAGAGTCCATGTTCGTGTAAACAACAGACCCGTTACCATGGTACAACCGAGTGGAACCGGCCAAGGTACTCTGTACGCTGGAGGAGTATTTAACCTTAAGGCTGGTGACGTCATCTCGTTGGCTGTGACATACTATATCAGGGTCTTTATGTATTCCGTTCACAGTTATTTCGGTGCGTTTTTGATTTGAGTTTCAATCGTTGCGTGTCGTTAACGAAACTGCACAATATCGTCATTAACTAAGGGTTTTAAAGCTTGATACTTTTTTTGACCACGCTGTTGTTCATTGGTGTCACTGATTTGTAAATTAAAGATATTTTGTTTTTGCATAATATCTCAAGTTAAGTTGCCAGGGGATTGTAATTTTATCTGTTAAGAATTAAAATAAAAAAGGATGGTGCAAGATATATTTGGGAATTTCTGCGTCAGTGCCAGCCGGATAAATGACCAGCAACTTAATTGTTATTTTCTAGTTTACTTGGATAGAAAAACACTATCAAATTAAATTTTTTCAAGACCTAATTCATCCCTAGTTCCGTGCTTACCACTCTGAAGTAATGCGTGGAAAGGAAATGTTAAAACTGAACTCGGATTTTTAGTAAGAAGTTCAACATGTTGGTTCACTCATAACTCTGGCACAATTTGATTGACTTTCAAATTAACAGGGCAATGAACTTCTCAATAGCTTTTAACAAAGAATGCATCCCCTTTCTAAATGCTCCCTCAGAAACAAGGATAGGATTGACCTTTCCTCTAGGCCTGTTCTCATTATGAATAAAAATAATTTTTTCTTCTCCCTGGTCTTTAATCCTTTGCACTTATTTTTCAGCAATTGTCCGTATAACTTCAGTTAACCTGTTTATTGGCCCGTCGCGATTGTGGTTGGCAACTTTTGAGCAACTTTTGGCGTTTGGAAAAACTTTTTGCGGTTAAAGAATAAATAAATAAATAAATAAATAAATAAATAAATATCTTAATTGACCACTCTCCCAATAGAGCTTTACATGTACAGTGCCAATGGAACCAAATGATGAAACAAATAATGCAAATGAAAATAACATGGTTAAAAATCCCAACTGGCAGGAGGCAGACCAGTTGGCTATTTACAAATGTGTCCGAGGAGTTGAACTAGAGTCTACCGAGAAACAACTCCAGCTGATTGGTCAGAGTGGGACTTGAACCCGCGACCGCTGGATTTCAAGTGCTGCGCCCTAACCACAGCCATGCTACCTCCTTTAATATGGCCCATACTTGGGGTTCTAGCAACCTCAAGCAAGTTTTGCCTTTCTGAACAACTTTTCAGCAAAATATAGGTTTACTGCATATATCAAGCACGAAAAAGTCAGTATTTTGTGAGTACTATCAGGAGGGGCCTGTTTCTCGAAAGCCCCGGAAACTTTTTAGGCCCGCAAAGCCATTTTTAGTTAATCGGTATTAAAGACAGAGTGTTGCATACGCCTGAAACTTCTTGTATGAAGAGAACCTCTGCTCATACTAAGAATATGTGCATAAAACTGGTCTGTGGTCATAGGGTTTGAGATTTGGGGCCTTTGAGAAACGGGCTCCAGGCCTACCTATTAACCTCCATTTGAGTCAGTTGCAGTAGATGGTAATTATTAGCCGTTTGTTCCAGAATTGGAGCAAGTATATTACCAGCAAACTTCATAGTATCTTAGGATTGAAATTGGTTGCTTCGGTGAAAACTTTGTCTGTGCCACTGAATAAAAAACTAGAGTTATCGAATCAATCTAATTTTTTCAAATGGTTGCCAAGGACAACGCGGACAATAGCCTGTAGCGATAAATGACTGGAAAGGGGCGATATATATCTTATTAAATCTATTTTGAAATCACTGGTTATCCTTGCAATCTGATTGGCTCTCAGTGGTGC